ATCTATCTATCTATCTATCTATCTATCTATCTATCTATCTATCTATCCATCCATCCATCCATCCATCCATCCATCCATCCATCCATCCATCTCTGCCTTCCTTCTTGTACTTCTACACTACCTACCTAGTATACCTTCTTGCACACTGTTCAGGAATCTCTGTCTCGTAGGAGTATGACATAAAAGAAATTCACTTACACCTCCAGAAAGGGGTCTACATTCTGGACTCAAATCCACAAATTCCTTCTTGGAACAATTTGTTTCTTTTATGGAATATTTAAAACGGTAATTCACTCCATTAACCACCTACAAGAAAATTTAAAGAGAAGTTGCACAGGACAAGTACTTTGTTAGGGAAAAAAAAAGAATTAGCTTGCACAGTTTCTCTCAGGTCTGTATTTTTTTTCTTTTAAATGATGGTTTCAAAAATATACACAAGGGGAGGAAATTCAAGGAAGAGCCGTGGTGGTGCAGTGATTAGAATGCAGTACTGCAGGCTAATTCCCTGATCACTCCAGCAGTTCAGTTCTGAATGGCTCAAGGTTGATTCAGCTTTCCATCCTTCCAAGGTCGGTAAAATGAGGACCCAGATTATTGGGGGCAATATGCTGACTATAAACCACTTACAGAGGGTCTGTAAAGTACTGTGAAGCGGTATATATATCTAAGTACTATTACTATTCAACTCTTTTCAGATTTTAGCTAAAATCTATTAAAATACCACATTCTGTATTAAGTCATGATGTTAGTTAAGTTAAGATGGAGAATTATTGGAATATATACAAACCTGACTTTCAGCCTCATTTATTACTGGAAAGCCAAATAAGGAAGAGTATTGACTCTGATTGTTAAATTGCCGCACGGTGTGTCTCACAATATGAAGCACTCTTGGACTAAGAGTTTTTATGCGATGCCAACAACCTACGCATTGACTCAAATCCACAAATTCCCAATGGGATTGTTCTATGTTTTTCTGTCCTGGAAGCAAGCCAATAATAAATTACAACAAGGGAAACAAAAGGAAGCAAATTAAAAAGGGAAGTTACATGGAAATTACTACAGTATACAAACAAGGCTTGCAGATAAAAAAAAAAAGAGGTAAGGAATCACCTTTACCTTACCTTTGGGAAAGAATGAGCAATGCGGGGCAATTCATCTTAGAGAAATTAATGGTAGACAAAAATGACACCTTTCTTTTTAAACGTTGGGATTTATAACATGTAACTTTGCACACGTAGTTATTGGCACATTCATATCAAAAGAAGTGAATCTAGTCCCAGCCTATATAATCTTGCTAGGCAAAAGGATGTATATAGCACCCTACTTCAACTGTACTCTCCTGGTGACCACCAGGTCTACCCTGTTTCCCCGAAAATACGACCTACCCTGAAATTAAGCCCTAGCTTGATTTTTACACATGTGCCCAATATAAGCCTTACTCCCAAAATAAGCCCTAATTAAGATCCCACCCACTCCAGAGTGCACGGGTAACAATTAAGCTAGGGTGGGGCTGGAGGGTGGAGCTCCCCTACTACTTATCTTTGGACAGTTGTAGCCAGGCCTCGCACACCACAACACCTGCCTGGCCGGCCCATTTCTTCTGCAACCGGTAAGGCTGGCAAGGCTATCCTGAAGGCCTCTGTAGCTGATATCAAAGCCCTGGATCGATCCAGAGCTCTATTATCAGCTGCAGAGGCCTTCAGGAAAGCCTTGCCAGCCACAGAAGAAGTTTCTGAAGGCCCCTGACAGCAAAAAGGAGGCCGGGGGTGACATGTACAAGTGAGGTTAGTCAGTGGATGACTTCCCCCCAAAATAAGACCTGGTGCCTTAGTTGGTGGGGAAAAAAAATCAGGGTCTTATTTTGGGGGAAAATATTAAAACTGTTCTAAAATATTAGAACTGAAACTCCCAGAATTCCTTCCCAGTATTCTTTTACTTTTGAATTCAGGGAGTTCTGAATACAACTTATAAGGTAGCGATGTATAGGATTGTGGTGCAATAGCAAAATGATTTTTTTAAAGAGTTTAAAAGTTAGAGTTTAAAGTCATCATTCAGCCCTTAACCATTCTCCAAAAATTCAAACAGCCCAAAGGTTTTTTTCCCTACACATTCTATTCCAACAATATACAACTCCTTATTTTTCAGCTGAGTGATTCATTTCTTAAATGAAGTCTGGCTCATGATATACTGAGTTACATATTGGAAATTGAAGCTCAAGTTACAGGTAGTCCTCAACTGACAACAATTCAGTTAGTGACTGTTCAAAGCGGCACTGAAAAACGTGACTTACGATTGTTTTTCAGCATCCTTATGATCGTGTGATCAAAATTCAGATGCTTGGCACCTGGTTCACACCAAGTCCTAGGATCATGCGATCTCTTTTGCGAACTCAAAGAGGATCATGCAATCTCTTTTGCAAACTCAAAGGGGAAGCCAGATTCACTTAACAACCAGGCTACTAACTTATCAACCACAGTGATTCACTTAACAACTGTGGCAAGAAATGGGGCAACACTCACTTAATAACAGAAATTTTGGGCTTAATTGTGGTCATAAGTCAAGGACTTATGGTGGTGGTATCATCCTGATCCCGCCCCCTCTCACAAGCATTGGTTTAAATCTGGCCACTGATTTTTTTCTCTCCATTATTTTCAGGAACAGGATAGAAAAAGGGTGAATTTTTCAGATTTCTAACTTGAACATTTACTTACCTTGGCTAATTTTGCAATTTTGTGAAATGGAGGTAAACTGTTCTGATTCATTAATGTCAATGTTAGCTACGCAGTTTCCAGAGTGCTGAAAGACAAGCAAAAGGAGACATCAATTTGATGATGTCTCGCCTGAACACCGGGCTGCTTCTTTCTGCTTCTTTCTTCTTCTGCTTTTGGCTGCATGCAAGGAAAGCAGCAAAAGTCTTTCTTTCTCTCCCCCAAACTCCGCCAGAAATGAGTCTCTGGGACCCTGCAAGGCCTCCTGCTCCAAGAGGCTGCGCCGGTGCAACAAGTCTCACAAAGACTCATTTCTGGCGGAGTTTGGGGGAGAGAATGAAAGACTTCTGCTGCTTCTGCTGCTCTCCTTTCATGAAGCCAAAAGTTTCTCTCTCTTTCTCTCCCCCTGAGAACAGATCTGGAAATGGTATCCTACGATCCCAAATAAAGAATGATCGATCGGTAGGAAAACGGGGTGGGGAATTTTCCTGCAGACTTTTTGGGGGATTTTCCCAGGGTCTCTGGTCCACAGGATTTAAAATTATGAGTTTGGTGGTCCCTGAGGTCCAAAAGATTGGAGACCCCTGGGCTAGAAGACCTTCACGGTCCCTTCCAACTCTGTTATTCTATTATACCCATAACAGTTTCTCCTCAAGTGTCTCTTCTTGAGACTTTCAAGAAGAGATTGGACTGCCATTTGTCAGAAATGGTGTAGGGTCTCCCACTTGGGCAGGGGGTTGGACTAGATGGTCCCTACAAGGTCCCTTCCAACTCTGATTATTTGTTATCTGTTATATTAAGGTTCTTTTTGCCTGGTTGCATATGGTGATCCTGGCAGGCTTTCTCTTTCTTCTTGCTGTCCCCCCTAAACTCTTTTCTGCCACTTCAAAGGAGGAAGAATGCATACTTACTGCTTTTGAGGTCCTTAAAAGTTCACACTTTTGCCAAGGCTTATCCACAGCAATTGGACACACGGTTTCTCTTACGTGATAGTTGATAAGGAATTTTTTCCTAGGATCTGCCTGAAAAGATTACTTAAATGAGTGCCATTGCAGTTTCATTCATGTAATTAATAAATTGATAGGCTTGAATACATGATTTGGGTGACTAACAGTTAAAAACAACACAGAATAAAACAACAACTTTAGAATAAAGTGAAACACAACCAGTGATTGAAAACATAAACAGCATAATTTATCCCAAAGCTGCATTCTTATTTTGGTGGCCAACCCACCCGGGTGGCTCATGGCCTAGTAATTAAAAAAAAATCTTGCCAATGTTCAGCAATGGGTGGAAACTAATCAAGGAGAGAAGCAACTTAGAACTAAGGAGAAATTTCTTGACAGTGAGAACAATTAATCAATGGAACAACTTGTCTCCAGAAGTTGTAAATGTTCCAACAGTGGAAGTTTTTAAAAAGATGTTGGATATCCATTTGTCTGAAGTGGTGTAGGGTTTCCTGCCTAAGCAGGGGGTTGGACTAGAAGACCTCCAAGGTCCCTCCCAACTATTCTATTCTATTCTATTCTATTCTGTTCTATTCTATTCTATTCTATTCTATTCTATTCTATTCTATTCTATTCTATTCT